ACTGGTTACCATTACATGTATCACACTGGTTACCATTACCTGTATAATACTGGTTACCAGTTTGTGTATAAAAATGGTAATAATTTCGTGTATTATAATGGTAATAATTTTGTGTGTTACAAAAACCACTTTGTGTATTACAACGGTAATCATTGTGTGTATTTAACAATGGTAATTATTTTGTGTATTTCACTGGTAACTATTTTGTGTATTTCATTTTTAATCATCATGTGTATTTCACAGGTAATCAATATGTTTATTTTAAAATGGTAATTAATTTGTGTATTTCACAGGTAACCATTTAGTGTATTTCACAGGTAACCATTTTGTGTTTTTCACTGTTAACCATTAAGTGTATACACCGGTAACCATTTTGTGTTTTTTACTGGTAACCATTCAGTATATTGCACTGATAACCTTTTTGTGTTTTTCACTGTTAACCATTAAGTGGATACACTGGTAACCTTTTTGTGTATTTCTCTGGTAACCATTTTGTTTATTTCATTAGTCACCAATGTGTGGATTACCATAGTTACTGGTACCTGTGTTACACTAATTAACATTATTTGTAGCACACAGGACCCTAAGAACCATTACGGTATTACAACCCTGATATCACAAGAGGTGGCCAGTCAGCTTTTATATAAGTATGCTAAACACAGGCTGTTCCTGCCACTGTTTTTGCTGCAGTTTCTGTTACTGGAATTTTTTTATCAGTCTCAACTGTTCTAGTTTTGTTTGTGTTAACAGTAACTGTTGTAACAACAGTTGCTGTTTTTGGAGTTGTTATATTGTCTGTGGTAACTGTTACACTATTAGTAGTTTCTCCGACAGCTCCAGCGCCTATAGATTCTCCAGCTCCCTCCCCACTGGGCTTATCCATGGTGATCTTACTGAGCAGCATTAATACAAGAATTGCCGGGATGTGTAACAAGGTGAACCGAAAGAGGGCGCGTGAAGACTTGCTGTCTCCTTTCTGGTAAAACCGTAGGGCGAGGTATGACATGTACAGGTTAAAAGGCAGTGAGTCAACAGCAAACGTCCAGGAGGTCACTCCTATCATAGGTGCCATGGTGCACAGTCCTATCATTGCCAAGGAGTAGCGCAAAGCAACACGCTTACACAGGCCAGGGTTTATCACTGACATCATCCTGTATCCACCACGGGAATAATCTGGCCTTAGATTCCAACTCAGTGCATTAAAATGGGGAAACTGCCATGCAAATAGGATAGCTCCAAGTAGCCAAGCACCTGCAATGGTTAAAGGTAGTATCAGAACTATAAACACAAGGTTATGGCCTTATTACTTCTGATGTTAACTGAGTAATAGGAGACATCACACGTTAATTAGTCATGATCAGCTTTATATCTATAAATAAATATATTTTAGAATATTTTAAAACTCTGAGCTAATATACATTTTGCCAGGCTATGGCATAAATATGCAATTTTGATTGCTATCTCCTACACATCATAGTGAGGATAACCTCCACTACAAGAAGTATACATTCCTTGTTATAATCACTCCAGCTTATAAAACATACCTGCTTGTAATTAATAAAGATGAATGTACATACCTGGTTCTAATCCTCCAGTACAAGCTGCCCAACCCATCATAGGGGGGATAGCCCCCACCACAGACCCCACCCAGGTATTGGCAGTACTGGTCCTTTTCATTGGTGTGTAGACCATGGTGTAGAGGCCGAGGTTAAATGCTCCCAGGGCAGCAGTAAGGGGATTTGTACCCAAGGTCAGAATCACCAGTCCCAAGCCACCAGACACACCCGCAAATGTTACTGCATGCAAGGGGCTGTAATATAAGATACCTAGTTAATGTAATTATTACAAGTCTTCCTTATAATGGGTAGTCTTTTAAAGATCAAGCTCTCTGGATGGAAGTATAACTGTATATGGCAGAGTATAAATAGTGCATTACAGTGAGTCATACAGTTTCTGTATTGTAATACAATATTACAAGGCATCCCAGACAACAGAACCTCTTCATGGCTGTGCAGTGCTACTTCTACACAGATGAGACAAAAAGGTACAAGAATGCTGACATTGGTATTGACACTGGAAGACTGAATCATGAGCTGTATGTGTGATGTTTTGTGGCAATCAGAAAAGAGGTAATAACATAACATTAATTATTCTATTAATAGTAACAGTGATCTTAGAAAGGTCAAACCATCTTGAACAAGATGTTTTTAAGTAAATGCATTTCATATCATCATATAAGTTACGAATGCATTTCAACCTATACCTACATTCAAATCAACGAAGAAAATTTTGTTTCATCATTCTTGGTGGTTTATTACAATGCATCGTATATTGTTGTGGGAACAATGCAGAGTTGTCCATGGTAACCACTTTGATTATGTGTAGATACCCTAACTGGGCTGTGTTACACCTTATTGAAGTTCTCCCAAATAAAGACCACTTCTGACCTGAAATTCATCTAATTAGTTGGTGTTAGACTGTTTCTGATCTAACTGAAGTTCCCCTGATTGGACAGTGTTTCTGACCTAACTGACCGGTCTAATTGGACAGCATTACTGACCTAACTGAAGTGGTCTAATTGGCCTGTGTTTCTGACCTAACTGAAGTGGTCT